GCATGTAAGATATAGCTGGATAGTCTTCTCGACTTCAGACTTGTAAAAATCAGTTTCAGTTATAAAAATGTAAGACACATGACGGGCAACAGTTTAGCCCGGTTTCACTCGAAATGATGAAGAATGTCGTGTGGACTATGCCAGTCTAAATGACCTATTAAAGAGATCATCTTCCGATGAGAACTCTTCATTATGCACTTTCATATGAAATGAAGGTATAACACTCGTAATGACGCTGACCTCGAAGCAAACTGCTTCGATTCCGGTGAAAACGTGCTAACCTTTCGCCAATCATATGATGTACAAAATCAGAGCAAATCAGATTGAAGCTAACGAGTCAAAGGAACTTAACATCTTACCACTTAATGTTCCGATAGGAGCCGTCTAGTGGCAGATGAAAGCTAAGCGTGTTTTCACCAAATTCAAATAAGATTGCTTCCGGGATAATGTTAACGAGAATATTTTCGCAAGGTCAACCGACAGCTGATCAAGAGGAATCTTTCAGCATACACTTTCACTTTAAATGGTCGTAAGTATAACCGTTGTAAACCAAGAGACTCCTCAAATTTCCCTCTGTCACACATCCCAATCCAACACAGGGCGCAATTTCCACTCTACCCTGGTTCCGTCAATGCGTCTAATGGGATTCGAACAATGGGCAATCAAGGCGGAAAGAGCCCAACCCCGTCGGGTTGCCCAATAACATTGGCCTTTAAGGCGAAGAGGTCACCTCTCAAAGCATACCTGCGATGGAGACTTTTTGCCTCGATGGCGGTCAAGCTTTTGCCGGCAAACTCGAAACGCCATTGCAGTGTATTCAACATTAGGTTGGCTTGTCACTCTAACGAGGTGTTGCTCTGTGCTGAGAATAGCGTTTCTGTCTGAAGCTAATGATGAATAGTATAGAATTGTGAAACGTCTCTGGTTCGATGCTAGAAGCCGCCATGTCTACAACGACAGAGGATACAGATTTGTGTACGTTCTTTCCAGTTTTTCTGTCACCACAATCGAGTTGTGAAAATGGCGTCAAACCAGCTCTATACAGACACAAACAATAGACCACACCACTTTGGTCTTCCTTTTTTACAAAACTCATTTTATTAGAGAACACGTATTAAGAGTAGACCTCGACGGAGCAAAGGTCATTTCATCTGTTCTTAGTAGCATCTTGACCCAATGGTTTCGGCGAAATGAATATATTTAATGGCAAAAGCTTGGTTGTTCCTCCTTGCACAGAGTCCCCACCGCCAATATGACTTGAGAGAGAAATTCATAGCCTGAAAAGCCATATTCGCCAAGTATCCCAACGTGGCTGGGCTCACATGTCAGTGCATGATATTTTCGTTTCTGACCCTGCATACCCTTGGTTCGGATGTCGTCGGGGTAGCTGAAGAGACCAAAGCAAAAATAGGCCTTCGCTCCCATCTTTATCTGGTCATACCACTGTCAGTAATCCCGATGAAACTGGTCTGTTGATTATATCCTCGAGACTTGTCAAGAACGAGAGCACTTAAGATGAGGCCTGAATTGGAGAATTTAAAGAAATTACCAAGCGAAAAAGTAAAGGACAAATTGAAAAACAATGCAAAAATGCTGGTAATTGTAGGCTGCTTTGGTTTGCAGAGCTCGGTACGTGAATAAACGGGACAAGGTCCGACCCTATCAGCAAATTGTGTTTAGTCTTGCTTCCTATTCTAAACTAAGCGTATATGTATGAGCGCAAGAACTAGCGATATTGCCGACTATGATTGAAAATTCACGTATGTTTTATCGACGCCAATCCCACTACAAAATGGGAATAGGAAAAGATCTGGCTTGCCTCATAATCAAAATCTGGCCTATTCTTTACTGAAACTGACTGTGTAGATGAGAGGAGGCCTGTCGTAGCTTGAAAGGAGTCCACGCAAAATGAGAACACTCTGGAATGCAAGTGTAAATGAATTCGAATAGCAAACTAGGTAAGGCCTTTGTCCCATCTTAATTGTCATG